TGTAGTGGAGCCGCTGCAACTGACGGGTGGGACCAGCAGCAGTACGGGACCACATGTCACTGCAGCAGCGACATGGGAGTGCACAAGTCGGGTGCACATGCGCCTGCCCACCCTGCGCGGGCCCTCGAGGACGCACGACGCACCGCGGGCCCTCCGTGACGCACGCCGCATGACCTACCCGACAACCCATCCCGTGAGGAGCCTAGCCACGGCAGCCGATGAGCGGGGCCAGAAGCAGCACGGAACCATCTGTCAGCGCGTGGAGACTACCCAAAGCGGGTGCGCATGCGTTGTCCAACCACCCTCCACGGCTTCCCCGGACGCACGACGCGAGCCGCGGATCGAACACGTGGTACGCGAGGATAGGCTCTTTCTCATCCGCCGGGGATTCACCCAGCCAATACCGCGGCCACAAGAGCCCACCAGTCATGGACGTGGAAAAAAACAACAACGGGGTGAAACTGGAGTCAGCGAACAGAAAGCAATCGAATGGCCAAAAGAAAACGGTTGACCAGAAAGAGCTCGATCGAACGGCCAACGTAGGTTGAAATCGAGGGAGCTCCCTGGGAGGGAGTTGGCCAGCTTCTGTTTTGTTTTAAATGAACGAGTGATCTGAAAACCCAAGATCAGTAAGAGCACAAGCCTTCAAAGAATTATGAAAATTTAACTGTGATCTTTTGAGAGACACCTAGACCTCCAGTTCAACCATGATCTTTTAAATCGAAGCCTCAATTAACGTGGACATACGATAACACTACCTATCAAAACCATAGGTCAAAAATCTTCTGTGTCATCATGTCATCATTGCATTTACGATTCTCTAAGGCCCCTCACAATGCTTGTCAACTAAGCAAAAAAACCTGATGTGGCAATGCTAGTTAAGAAGAGAGAGAAAGAGTAGTATGGTGATCCCAGGAAGAAACAGTGCTAAGCACGTGTACCTATGTGGAAGCATAATTCTGAGTCTACAACTAATTAAATGCATGAATCTTAGCACCCAAAAGCTTAGCACCTTTGCTTTGGGGACTTGAGTTGCTAAGACATTTAATATACTTAGCACCTCATCTAAGCCCATTTGCATTGGAGGTCTAAATCCATCTCTTTAGAACATGGTTAATAATACAGCCAACGGACGGCTATAAGGTGTTGCCATGTCATCTAGAGCCAAACACATAGCCGACATGTACAATAGTAAGTTTTAAATGTGTACTACTTTATTAATAGTTGGCTCACCTTATATCCTCACAAAGTGTCTTGGGTCTCGTGTTGCAGCTGGCTACTGAGGCCCCTCCCAATGCTCCACCTTGTACAGGTGCTAAGCCTTCCACGTAGGCAAAAAATATGATGTGGCAATTTATTTAAGAGGAGAGAGATGAGTGTGGTGACCCCAGCAAGAAACAATGCTAAGCGCGTGAACCTAGGCAAAACATTTAAAGGAAAGAAACCCACCAATAGATGAAGAGTTTTAGTTCCTAAATTATTAAATGAAGTAAGCTTAGCAACCATAAGCTAAGCACCTATGCATTGGGGAGCATAGTTGCTAAGCTATTTAATATGCTTAGCACCACATCTAAGCACCCATGCATTGGCAGCAGCCTAACCAAGAGCCCGCTTCTCTTCTCTCTCCTCTAACTAAGTGAAGATATAATATTTTATTCCTTATAGTCTGTTTATGTCACCTTATTGTACTCCGTCTTATACTACTTTCACTTGCAATGTCTTTACTTTTCGCTCCGTATACTTTAGAATTGCATGTTTAGGGTGCTATTTGACCAGCTAGTTAATGCTAAAATCTGCCAAGAACTAAAATTGAGAAAAGGGTCCATTAAATTTGGTAAGCAGTCTAATTACCCGCCCTCTACACATACTTCCGATCCTACACCATCTTGTGGGTTTGCCATAAGTTTCACTAGAGGCTTCTCTCTCTTGAAGGCAAATAATACGGTGGGTGAATAAATTACTGTCGAGCAATTGATAGAAAAGTGCAAAGTTATGACGATATCCAAGGCAATGATTATGCATATAGGCATCACGTCCATATCAAGTAGACCGAAACGATTTTGCATCTACTACTATTACTTCACATATCAACCGCTATCCAGCATGCATCTAGAGTATTAAGTTCATAAGAACGGAGTAACGCCTTAAGTAAGATGACATGATGTAGAGGGATAAACTCCAGCAATATGATGAAAACCCCATCTTTTTAACCTTGATGACAACAATACAAATACATGCCTCGCTATCTCTACTTTGTCATTAGGCGAGGACACCGCAAGATTGAACCCAAAACTAAGCACCTCTCCATTGCAAGAAAAACCAATCTAGTTGGCCAAAGCAAACTGATTATTCGAAGAGAAATACAAATATATCAAATCATGCATATAAGAATTTAGAGAAGATTCAAATATATTCATAGATAATCTGATAATAAATCCACAATTCACCGGATCTCGACAAACACAACGCAAAAGAAGATTACATCGGATAGATCTTCAAGAACATCGAGGAGAACATGATATTGAGGATCAAAGAGAGAGAGAGAGAGAAGAAGCCATCTAGCTACTTGCTATGGACCCGTAGGTCTGTGGTAAACTACTAACGCTTCATCGGAAGGGCAATAGAGTTGATGTGGTAAACTACCCCGTGATCGAATCCCCCTCCGGTAGGGTGCCGGAGAAGGTCCCAAGATGAGATCTCACGGGTACAGAAGGTTACAGCGGCAGATAAGTATTTTGGTGGATGCTTCTGGTTGTTTGGGAATATTTTTGAATTTATAAGCCAAGGATTAGGGTTGGAGGGCTCCGGGGGGCCCACAAGCCGGGGGCGCCCCCTAGGGCGCGCCCTGAGGGCTTGTGGAGTCCTCGAGAGTCTTCTGACTTCCTCCTCAAGTCCTACGTGTGTCTTCTGGCCAAAAAAAATCATCGTAAAGTTTTATTCCGTTTGGACTTCGTTTGACATTCCTTTTCTGTAAAACTCAAAAACAAGGGAAAACAGAAACTGACACTAGGCTCTATGTTAATAAGTTAGTCAAAATAATATAAAATAGCATATTAATGCATATAAAAGATCCAAAATAGATAATATAATAGCATGGAACAATAAAAAAATATAGATACATTGGAGACATATCAACGCGCAAAGGAAGCAGCCCCGGTCGTTCGAGTCGGCTAACATTGCCAGCGCCCGCAAGCTGTTCGGCGATATGCCACCGCCGACGCAGACCTCGACGGTCCAGGACCCATACTACTCCTCGTTCATGCAGAACGTCATCTTCGAGGGCCGTGGTGAGGCGTTCCACGTCGACGGCCAAGAGCAACCTTTTGATGTCGACGCAACCCAAAGCCAAGATGGTCGTGGTACCTATGACGACTCTCAGTTTGGCGTCTATGATGATGCCGATGAGGACAACCATGGCAACTCGTGGCATGAAGATGATGACTTGTATTGTGAAGATGAAGAAGATGAGGTCTACATTTTCGCAGAGCCATTGTGTTTCATCGACGAGCTCACCCAAAAGGCCGAAGCACAAAAGAGGAGCAAGAGCATTCGCACGGGATCATATAGCCAAGCCGAAAACACTTTGATTTGCGAGAGTTGGAAGGAAGATCCAATCAAAGGTGCCGAGCAAAAAGGAGTGGTCTTTTGGACAATAGTTCACATGAACTTTCATGAGCGAAAAAAATTCCCCCTACTAATTCACAAGCACTCGCGACATCAATTCAATCCAAAAAGGTGTGGATTCATCCAAGAAGAATGCAACAAATATTGTGCCGCCCTTGAGAGCATCAAAGCCCGTTCCGTGAGCGGCCTAGGCCTTGGTGACTTGGTATGAACCCCTCTCTTTTCCATCATGCGTCCATTCATGTTGGCATGCCATTTAAGTTTCATGCATTCTATATCCTTTCATGTTGGCCGCATGTTTGATTGTGTAGACATTCCAATCTTCAGAAGGCTTCAAGCCCCGACACAAAGACAAGTCATTCACTCTCACACATTGTTGGGTGCTCATCAAAGATCGCCCCAAGTTCAAGGACCAATACAATGCTCGTAGGAAGAAGAGGGGAGAAAAGGCGGCGGCGGCCGAGGCTGATGCGGGAGACGTGCTCAAGAGGCCGAGGGGCAAGACAAGCTCGAAGTCCGACGAGAAGCGTGATGCGTCTTCTATGGCCTTGCAAGGAACTTTAGAGGATATGATGAGCCAAAAGAAAATGCGGGACCAGAGGAAGAGCAAAGGGAGGGAGGAGCAAATGAAGATATACCTAGATCTTCAAACGAAGAAGCTTGACATGAAGGAGGCCGTGAAGAAGAGGAAGCTTGACATCAAGGATGCCGCTCAACTCAAGAAGCTAGAGATCGAGGCTACCAATGCCGACACAAAAGCCAAGGAGGTGGCACTAGCGATCATGATCGTCGACAAGAACAACATGTCACCAAAGAGAAAGACTTGGTTCACGAACCGGCAGAAAGAGATGTTCGCCCGCGACAACAAGATCTAGGTGAGACGACGGCCGCGATGACGGTCCTTTTTGAAGGCTGGCTCCTGTGTCGGTCGCTGGCTTTGTTGCTGGCGTGAACACATATCTTTTAAAAGCTGGCTCCTGTGCCGGCCGCTGGCTTTGTTGCCGGCATGTATGCCGCCGGTTGTGTTGCCGGTCGGCGTGAACTAGTATGAATTTGGATGAACACGATCCATTGCCAAATAGATGAAATCCGAATAAAACAGACTTCCATTTGGGTTGCGCGTTGGAGTTGGCCTAATTGGTTCTCTGCGTCGAAGTTGCCCTTGTCACTCGGCCTTTGCCCGCGGCGCAGAGAGCGGATAGCTCATCTACCCACCAACCACGATCCAACGGCTGGTAGCAGAACCAGTTCTTACAGTCGGGGATAGCGAAGCAGTTCCCTGACCAGTGGTTCCTGCCCGTCGCTGTCGCCCACTCGTCGCTCGAAATCCCGTCCAGATTCCTTCGGAGATGGCGCGAGAGGGAGGAGGGGCAGCCATGGCGCCCGCTGCGGCGGAAGTGAGGTACGGGATAGTTGGGGTCGGGATGATGGGGAGGGAGCACCTCCACAACCTCGCTCACCTCGCCGGAGAAGTCGAGCGGGAGCAGTCCGTCCGCGTCTGCGTCACCTGCCTCGCCGACCCCCACCCGGAGTCCCTCCTCCTTGGCCTCCGCCTCGCTGCAGAGCTTGGCCTGCCACCTCCCCAGGTACCTGCCACAGCCTCCCAGTCACATGAATATGAGTATATGACAGTACAAATAGCCGCCGCCTTGCTGGATGTAGAATGTAGAGCCAGTCATACATAATCTGCTAGGTTTGGTTGGTACTTTGATTCTATCTGAACTATATTTGGTTGGAAGTATTAGGTGCATGGCAACAATGTTCAAAATACCACCTGTTCCACAAAGTTTTGGTTGGTTACCAAATCCTAAAAACTAGAAGGTTTCAAGACATTTTCAGGTCACCGCGAGTTGCTGGACAGCGGGCTGTGTGACGCCGTCGTTGTGTCGTCGCCAAACATGACACACTCTGAGATACTCATGGACATCATTTGTTATGCCAAGCCGCACCACGTTCTTGTTGAGAAGCCTCTGTGCACCACGGTACAGGACTGCAAGAAGGTGAGGTCATATTCTAGTCAGGGATGTGCTATACAATGTGCTTGTTAACTGCTGTAAAGTAAAATATACCTTTCTGATATACGAGGAGAAACAACTGTATAATTAACCATTTAAGGGATGTATTAAAACCAACGATTACGATTTGTCAGTCCACCGAATCTCTGCAAGCTTATTCATTTTGATATCTGAAGTTTGGTGTCCCCGTATAGGTCATAGAGGCTGCCAAACAGAGATCAGACATACTCATGCAAGTCGGATTAGAATACCGGTATATGCCGCCGGTGGCTAAGCTGATAGATATTGTTAAAAGTGGCACACTAGGGCAGGTCAAAATGGTGGCTATCCGTGAACATCGGTTTCCTTTCCTTGTTAAGGTATGGGAGCCCAATCTATGATACTTGTAATAATTAATACTCCCTCCGTCCCATAATATAAGAACGTTTTTTATACTACATTAGTGTCAAAAACGCTCTTATATTATGTGACGGAGGGAGTAATTTCCTTGTGTGTGTAACTGCTAAAACCCTTGCAGGTGAACAACTGGAATAGGTTTAATTGCAACAGTGGGGGGACTCTGGTTGAGAAGTGCTGCCACTTTTTTGATTTGATAAGATTGTTTGCAGATGCGAACCCTGTTCGTGTGATGGCTTCTGGAGCTATTGATGTTAACCATAAGGATGAGGTTTATGATGGAAAGGTCAGGTTCATTGACTGTTGGACTACAAGCTCTCTCCTTTCACTGTACTACTCATTATGGCCTTGGGAGTTAAAAATATGGATGCTGAAGTAGTAGTGCAGTGATAAGGATTCCTTATTAACATGTTCTATTCTGGGATTTATGAAATACTGGATGGGATTAGAACTCTCCAAGTGACTACGATATATTAATTTCAAGCTATCAAACAATTTTTGAGCTCTTCTGATTATAATATTAGTAGACATGTTTCAGTTAAAACAGTGGCGCTTGATTCCTAAAAAATTCTCTCTGGATGCAGGTACCAGATATAATTGATAATGCATATGTAATCGTAGAATTCGATAATGGCTGTCGTGGCATGCTTGATCTCTGCATGTTTGCTGAAGGTAGTAAAAATGAGCAGGAAATTTCTGTTGTTGGTGACACTGGAAAGGTACAACCCCAGATATGTTCACATTTAAGTAAAACAGGAATTATTTGTTCTATGGTTGTTGGAGATACATAATATGTTTCCCAGCCATGAAATGGTGTAGATTTGCACAAAGTTATAGCCAAATACGAGTATGCCATTATATACACTGGCTGTACATAGGCTTTGCCAATTCACAACTCAGTAATGGTCCTTGTGATAGAGGTAGGGGTAAAGGTCCAAGGACGGTGCGAGAGGGCTCGTCCCTGATTACTAAGACAGGCTCTGAGGCTTAGTTTTATTATTTATGTCATCGCTTAGTTCCAAGAGTTACTATAAGGTAGTACAGGTCCTTGGACCTTTACCCCTACTCAGCTCACTGGTGGATCTATTATGAATGAATCGTCAATGGTCCTTGGTGATATATTGCATGCATCTCTACATTTGATGCGTATCAGATGTAGTACGAACCGTATCAAATGTGGGGCCTGTCTGGGTAATATTGCATCCTCTAGGCTCTTCCTTTTGCATGCTCTGGTCTTCAGATAGGCTGTAGTTCACTGGTGAATCTACTATGAATGAATCATCAATATTTACCACAATCCTTGGAGATAACTGTAGCACCTCGAAAAAGGGTTAGCTTTGTGCAAAACTAAGAACTTGAAAGGAGACAAATGTCACGAGCCATGACACAGTTATCACATGGTGGGATCAAATAAAAAGGGTGGCGTTGTGAAACGAAGTTCAAGCTGTTCGTGAAGCCGATGGTCCATTTCTCCGATTACTAGGATTTCACGAAACTTGCTTCAAGTTGAAGCATCAGAGTGAGGGACAAGCCCTGTGGGTGTTTCTTTTCTTCAGGACAATGGACCTGCCTGTCTTCCCAACCCATGTGCTAGCTATAGCCTGTTGGAATGTTGTGCAGGATTAAAAAGGTCATACTTTAGGCACTCCTGAGTCTAGACATGTAAGGCTTGTATATCAATTCAATTTATGGAGTATCTGTTTGTAATAGGAATTTTCAAACAGGGCGAGGCTTTTGTTCCAGAGGGCATTGTGATGGTTGGAAAGCGAGCAGGAGGCAGAGATGGAGTTGTAACGGTGAAGGCCGAAGATGAACGAATCAAGTATGTACTACTTTGTCACAATATATCAATGTTTTCCAGATCTTAACATTCAATAGCAAAATATTAAGAAAATACTGTATTAGATTCTTCTGATGGGAGATACAGCATCTATTGTAACAGTGATTCTTCAAGAAATAGAACTGGTTTAGATTTGAGACTTCAGACCTTTTACTAGCTTTCAATAAAAACTCCTTTACTTTAGGACGAGTGGTTTACCATCAAATTACCATGTCGAGTAGTATCTAACGAGCTGTACATACATTGCTTAGGTACCAGGGGCTTCACCATGGATCTAGCTACTTGGAGCACCTGAATTTCCTGTCTGCCATCAGGGCACAAGGTGCATGTAGCCCAGCTATCAGCTTGGATGACGGCTTACTATCTGTTGCAATTGGTGTGGCTGGCCAATTGTCGATCGAGAAAGGCCGTTTCGTCACCATTGAGGAGGTGCTATCAAGCTGATAATCAATGATTTATCGATGTACTACAGATTTCACAGCAGTTGTATACATCTGTAATAGCATAAGCTGATTTTCTTCAACTTGCATGCACAGCACTGGGTAATTTCCTGTCTTGCGCAGTAAGCTGTTAAGGAATGTTCATATTTCCCCTTTTGTTCTTTCTAAGAGCTAATGATCCACAAACTCGGCAACGATGATCATGTATGTATGTATGTATGTATGTATGTATGTATTCCAAATATCAAATGATTTCAGCTATCTGCCTTTGATTCCCGTATCATTGTTTTGTTTTGTGAGATAGCGAACGGCTCATGCCAAGCCGTCCTTGACCGTATCAATTTTAAGAAAATATACCTAACCTGTAGCTTCCAATTCATTTTTCCCAAGTATTCGAAACTGATTTGTAGAAATGAGATACTCAACCATGCTTGCGCACTAGATGCCGATGGTAAGTGAGACAGTGCGTGGTTATAAGCTCCTCAGAGTCACCGAGTTTGAGAAGGAAGCAAGTGTCATAGTACTAAATGCCACCGGCACATTTGAGAGCGAGATGGCTTACGCATGCGAGCAGGAAGCTAAGTTCAACGTCAAGCACGAGAGGACGCTCAACGGGTGGAAATCTCTCTAGTGCCAGCCAGGGAGACTGACAATTTGCTAGTGGGCTTTTGGCTCAAAGCCCAACTAAAATTCCGAAGAGCAGTGATGGGCGCCGGTCCGCCGGCCGAAACTTTCGGCCGGTCGGTTCTCAATCGTTCGATCGTGCCAATCATACGTGCATGATCTCGCGGGTCCCTGCTTCCCTCCCGCACGGATCGCTTCGTCTATCCACAGCTTGCGCCACCGCTGGTCTTCCCTTGTCGCCGCACTCAGATAAATCTGCACAGCTCGCCTCGTGCCGGTCGCCGGTGGTAGCTGCTGCAGTCGCCGGTTGCAGCAAAAAAATGCGGCCCACCATCGTCGGAGATAGTTGCTCTGGTCGTCGGTTGCAGCAAAAAAATGGCCACGACCGTCGCCGGTGGTAGCTGCCGCTGTCGCTGTTGCAGCAAAAACGGCCGCTTTCAAGGGTTGTAGCACCGATTTTGCCGGTTCCAGCTAAAAAACGGCGCCGCCGCTGCCGCCACACCATGGCCGTCGCTGATGGTAGCAAAAACAGCTACCAGTTGTAGCATTCGGCTGACTACTTGTAGCAAAAACTGATGCTGGTTCCAGCAAAAATCAAGACGATGGTAGCAAAAACAGCTACCGGTTGTAGCATTCGGCTGGCTACTTGTAGCAAAAACTGATACTGGTTCCAGCAAAAATCAACATGATGGTAGCAATTAAGGATGTTAGTTCCAGCAAAACAAAAAAAACAGATGGTAGCAAAAAAAGACGCTAGTTCTAACAAACCAACCAAATAGACTGTGGTAGCAAAAACTGGGGAAGGTTCCAGCAAAAGAAATCCATGATTCCAGCAAAAATACCACCGTCTCCCGTCACTGATCGTCCAGTCGCAACACCTTGAGTCTTTGGTTCCAGCATCTTCAAGCTATGGTTGCAGCATTCCTCACAGCGGTTCCAACACCACGTCTGGAGTTGATGGCCATTGTTCAGCTCATTGTTCTCTCCCTAAAGCTTTTCGGAAGCTGGTTGAAGCTTTCTTGTCGTCGGTTGCAGCTTTACTCTGAAATGCTACAACGACAACGGTGACACTGGTCTCAGCAGCAACGCACCCCTTGCTACAACCGGTGTCGCGTGTTGCTACCACTGCGTCGCACTTTGCTACAACCGCCATCGTGTTTTGCTACAACGCAAAAAATTGGTGCCGTTCTCTTCTTTGCTACAACCAGCACCGCCGTGCTACAACCAGCTTCAATTTTTGCTACAATCGACGCCGCATTTTGCTACAACGAGCATCATGTTTTGCTACAACGCAGAATCTGGCATCCTATTTTTTGGTACAATCTGTCGCCGCTCTGCTGCAACCGACTTCTTGTTTTGCTACAACCGGTGCCGTGGTTTGGTACAATCGACTCCTCGATTTGCTACAACCGGCGTCATGTTTGCAAATCGACAGTGTGTTTTTGCCTGCTTCTCCAGCCAGCTACAACCAATGTCGAGTTATGCTACAACCGACTAAATCGGTGGCGTGGTTTGCTACAACCCGGTGCTACAACGGACACGACTAGGGGCTGTGATGACGACGAGAACAAAACGATGCCGGAGACGGGGTGCCTCCGCTCTGCAAGAGCTGTGGCCAGACTTGCAACGAGAACAACCTCGGGTCAAAGCGGCACACTGGCACGACCAACAGAAATCGAGGTTGGGGACACTGGTGGCCGACGAGCGTGTGTGGCGCGGCCACGCAGGAGGCCGGCGAGCGCGGTGAGCGCGTGCGGCGCGGCCGCGCAGGAGGCCGACGAGCGCGGTGAGCGCGTGCAGTGCAGGAGGCCGACGAGCGCGTCTGGCGCGGCCGTGCAGGAGGTCGACAAGCGCGGGCAGCGTGGGCGTCCTTTCTTTTTCTTTGTTTTTTCCTGCGAGGTGGACGAAGAAACCACGTCTCTCTGGTCGCTTCAATCCAGTTGGATCGCGTGGCCCACGCGAGTCCGGCGGAATGACTCGGCCGGTGCGCCGGGTGTAAACATTACCCAATTCTGAAATTCTCTTGGCCCATTCATGCACACATGTGAGTGGTGTGAGTGAGATTAAAATTTAGTCTCACCCCATAAATTGAGAGAGAGTTACCCCTCTTTATAAGGTGAGCTCTTCTATCATTTATATAAGCATGAGAAGAGAAGACCTACACGCGCGCTCCTTCACGCTCGCCTTGTCACGACGCGCCGCGCCGCGGGTTGCGGGAATGAGCCGAGCCGAGCCGAGGACAGAGCTATGCACGTATTCTATGCTAGTTCGCATGATTAGTTTAATCTATGCTAGTTCGCATGATTAGTTTAATCTCTGCTAGTGTTGTCATGATTTATCTTCTGTTTATTCGCATTAAATCTCGTAGTAATTTTCTCATATTTTTAACAATCCAAAAACCTGAATATAGGCAATTTACACCGAGTGGTTTTGCTGCGCATTTGAAGCCACCTGCCTTTAAGGGGATGCAATATAAGAGGTGGCGCATGAGAGCAGTCTACTAATTTCAGACCATGTGCTGCTATGACGCCACTAAGGGAAAGCCTGAGGGCGATCTTAATCCAATGCAGCTGGAAGCTTTTGAGAAGATCAATACTCTCTTTAAAGGTGCCCTTCTAAGTGTTCTTGATGATTCCATTGTGGATTCGTATAAGTCGTTTGACAACGACAAGGACATGTGGGCTGCGCTCGAGGCCAAGTTCGGTGCCTCGGATGCCGACAACAAGTTGTACGTCATGGAGCAATTCTATGACTACAAGATGACCGATGAGCGCTATGTTGTACATCGGGCTCTTGAGATACAGTCACTTGCCAAGAAACTTGAGTACTTTACGTGTGTGTTGCCAGACAAATTTGTTGCCGGGGGCATCGTTGCCAAGCTTCCACCTTCGTGGAATAATTTTGCTACTTTCCTGAAACACAAGAGATAAGGGTTTTCCGTTTCAGATCTCATTGGTACTCTTGATATTGAAGAGAAGGAGAGAGCAAAAGACACACGTGCTCGAGTTGTTGAGGGAGCTTCTAGTGCCCACATAGTACAAAAGAACAACTTCCAGCCCAACAAGTTCAAAAACAACAAGAACAAAACTCAGAGCAAATGCAAGTTTGATGCAAAGAGCAAGCCGTCACATTCTACCAACTTCAAGAAGAATTCTCACAAGAAGGGGAAGGGACTTTGCTATGTCTGCGGTGATCCTAATCACTGGGCTCCGAAGTGTCCTAACCGCTTTGAGGAGCGTGAACATGAGAAGAGCGGCAAGTCCGCTAATGTTGTCATTGGTGATACTGATATGAAGGAATCTGGGTACGGTATTCTTCCTACCATCCTTTCAGTATTTCAATCTCCTGATTGGTTAATTGACACTGGTGCCAATGTACATGTTTGTGCTGACGCCTCCATGTTTTCTTCTTACCAGGCCACAGGGACTTTCCCCGTGCTGATGGGGAATGGGCCACATGCCATTGTTCGAGGTGTCGGTACGGTTGATCTGAAGTTTACTTCGGGGAAGACCGTGCGTCTGAAGAACGTTCATCATGTGCCGTCCGTCAATAAGAATCTCGTCAGCGGTTCCCGTTTATGTCGAGATGGTTTTAAGTTGGTTTTGAGTCCAATAAAGTTGTAATTTCCAAGTGTGGACAATTTGTTGGAAAAGGCTATGAGTGCGGGGGCTTGTTCCGCCTATCTTTGTCAGATATTAGTAATGTTTGCCACAATAATGAGTCTGATATTTGACATTCACGACTTTATCATATTAACTTTGGTTGCATGACACGGCTAGCCAATATGAATTTAATTCCAAAAATCCCTACTATCAAAGGCTTCAAGTGCCAAGTGTGTGTGCAAGCTAAGCAACCTCGCAAGTCCCATAAGACTGTAGAGGCAAGAGACTTGGCGCCACTAGAGCTTATAAACTCCGATCTTTGTGAGATGAATGGCGTGTTGACAAAAGGTGGAAAGAGATACTTCAGGACGTTGATTGACGACTCCACTAGATATTGTTATGTGTATCTTCTGAAATCAAAAGATGAGGCTTTAACTTTCTTCAAAAACTATAAAGTTGAAGCGGAGAACCAACTTGATCGGAAAATTAAACGGCTAAGGTCCGATCGTGGTGGAGAGTATTTTCCAATAAATTTGATTTGTTTTGTGCGGAACATGGTATAATCCATGAGAGGATGCCTCCCTACTCACCTCAGTCTAATGGGGGTGGCCGAAAGAAAGAACCAAACTCTAATTGATTTGGTTACCGCCATGTTAGACAGATCGGATCTTTACAAGGAATGGTGGGCTGCTAATGACTGCATGTCATGTCCTAAACCGAGTTCCCACAAAGCATAAGACCATGACTCCATTTGAGGAATGGGAAAGGAAAAGGTTGAAACTCTCTTACCTACGTACTTGGGGTTGTTTGGCGAAAGTCAATATACCAATTCCCAAGAAGCGCAAGATTGGACCAAAAACCGTGGATTGTGTTCTTCTGGGCTATGCTTTTCATAGCATTGGCTATATATTTTTTATAATAAAATTTGAGGTATTCGACATGCATGTTGGTACGATTATGGAGTCGAATGATGCAACTTTCTTTGAGGACATATTTCCTATGAATGATATGTCGAGTTCATCAAATCAGGAGATACCTACTCCATCTAGTGAGGAATTCGCTGTAATTCCTGAACCCACCATTGCGATGGAACACGTTGAGAATTCTTTTGAGGGTGACAATGAAACTCCTGTAAGGAGTAAGAGAGAGAGCTCTGCAAAGTCCTTTGGTGATGATTTCATTGTGTACCTCGTGGATGACACACCCATGACTATTTCAGAAGCCTATGCATCTCCCGATGCTGACTACTAGAAGGAAGCTGTTCGTAGCGAGATGGATTCCATCTTAGCTAATGGAACCTGGGAGATCACTGACCGTCTTTATGGGTGCAAACCTGTAGGATGTAAGTGGGTGTTCAAGAAAAATCTTAGACCTGATGGTACGATTGAAAAGTACAAGGCACGAC